GATCGTTGATGTGGCTGGCGACTCAGACTAGACCAGACATTGCGAATGCAGTAAGGGCAGTAGCTAGGTATTGCGCATCTCCGAAGCTGGTACACTGGAGTGCAGCGATGGATATTTTGGGCCATGCGAGGAGGACGAGTCACTTTGGTATTTCGTTTCAGAGAGGTACGGTAGAGGGATTCAGCTTGCAGGGATACGCTGATGCGGACTTTGCAAGCAAGGCAGCAGACCGTAGGTCGGTATCAGGGGGGATCGTGACGTGTGGAGGAGGCGCTGTGTCTTGGTTTTCCAGAACGCAAAGATGCGTCACGCTTTCGACGACAGAAGCAGAGTACGTCGCCCTAGGCGACGTAGTGGAGGAGATTTTGTTTTTGAGGCAGATTTGGCGTTTCATGTTGCCGCAGGTCGGCATGCCGTGCATCCCCGTCTTCGAGGACAACCAGGGGGCGATTCAACTAGCGCAGAACCCCATCTCAAACTCGAACTCGAAGCACATTGATGTAAGGCACCATTTTCTCAGGGAACTGGTAGAGAGGAAGGAGATTTCGGTGATTCACGTGCCGTCTCCGTACCAGCGTGCAGACTTTCTTACGAAAAGTTTGCCCAAGGATGCGTTCGAGTCTCACCGTGATTTTGTGATGAATTTGGCATGAGTTTTTATTATTTTTCTGATGAGTTTGGTTTGGCTTTCGATTTGATTGTTTTGCTTTCCGCGCTAAGTTATTTTCACGCGCGATGCAGCAGTATTCATGTTTCTTGGACTTGGTTTTCGTGTCATATATTTTGGAAGTAATCTTGATCGCATATATTCAGGAAAAGACGTCTTTTGGTTGAGATATCCGATATTGTTTCGTAGTTTGCAGTGAAGATACTGTTGCGAGCAGGGGGGATGTAAGATATACTCGCAGCAGTCTCTAGACGTGAGGATCCTCGGGGATACGTGTTGAGAATTTCGTATGTTGATGGGTACCACCGATGCAGATACGGGGACCCTTTTGGCCTTGGTTGCGGTGTTGAAGGCTCGCGCATCTAGCGCACTGCTTTCGCTCTCTCCACCGCTACCGCCGTCTCTCTCCAATCAAGTTTCCTTCTCCAACGCTTTCTCCAACGCCAACGCCATCTCAATCTCTACCTCTCTCTCTCGGCCTAACACGGCCGACTACCCACTGCCCCAACAGACGCCCAACACGGGCTTGCTGCACCCCGCGTAGTTTACCTTTCAACCCGGCTTTGCGCGGTGACACAGTAATAATGGCATTTTTCGGAAAGTGACAAAATTCACCAATTGGGTTTGCTTCAAGATGAAACTGGCCAGCGTGCTGTGCGGGACCACCGATTGAGGTTGACTGCGGGACCACCGATTCAGGTTGACTGCCGTGCCAACGCTCGTGTTCGACCATACAACACAATGTACCCATGCGCATGCAGCAATCACCCAGACTGTGGTTTGCCCGACCATGAGCATCCCCAAATGGTTCCGTTGTGCGACACATGCCTTTGTATGCTATGTCCGCCTGCGCCGTGGTCCGCTGGTCGCTGGTCGGCTATCGCTGGTCGGCTGTACAGTGAAACGTTTACCCGTCGGATCCATCCGATCCGTGGTCCGTCCACCCCTCTATCTCTGCTGTTGTTGCTGTCGCTGAGGGCATGTTGTTTGAGCCCGCCACCACACTGGCATGTCGTCAGACAAGTGACCACACAGCAGGTACGTAGGTTGGGCTTGCGGTAAGGTGGATGCCATGTTGGTGCACAGCAGTGGAATGAAAGATCGCCCCGGATCGCGGATGAACGCTGAGGAACACTTACCCGCCGTCGTCGGATCATGGATCGTGGATCGTCCCGAACTTCTTTCAAGCTGTGGACACGGACTACTGCTTGGGGCCGTTAGAGCACGGCCATGTCTTCAACGCACACCCACTCGCCAATTGGCCAACAACCAATGTATGTATGTGCATGGACACGTGTCGTGCGGCGAGGGTGGATAGTCTAGAGGATATATGGCAATGTCGCGGTTCCAGTTTGTCCGGTTATGGTGGTGTGGTGGTGTGTGGTGGTGTGTGGTGTGGTGGGGGGGTTGTTTGGATACCCCCACGGGTGTTTATCAATCAAGACCACCGCTGGAAGAGACAGATATCTAAATCTGTAATACTGAACTCTGTGCCAGCCAAACAATTCCAGGGTCTGCTCTTGTCTACGGTGCTCACCTTGTTTCTGTAAACCCTATCGTTCAAAACTCACCAATTTGGTCTGCGCCATCATGATGAAACTGGCCAGCGTTTTGTGCGGGACCACCGATTCAGGTTGGGTGCGGGACCACCGATGGAGGTCGTCTACAACACAATGTACCATGGCGTGCAGCCATCACCCGGACTGTTTTTTTCTCAATTTTTTTTTCTCCCGTCATTGGACTCTGTCGTCTGCCCCTCTGGCCCCTATCCTCCACTTCTACTAGCTAGACGACCCAACCGGGGTCACACAGGGAGGGGGAGTTGGACCCCCTCCTGCGGTTCCTGTGTGAGATATTTTTATCGCGAGAAGGGTACAGCAATCCCTTCCCTCTCGACCTACGAAGTCGATTGATTATGGTTTACTAACAACGAGCTTTATTTGCAGCGCATCGCTTTCATCCTCGACCAGGATATATTAAGTGAGAAAAAAACTCACTCTGCCGGGTACCCATGACCTTACGTAAAGAAAAACAAGCTGCCGGGACTCGAACCCATGACCTGGCCCTTAGCAGGCTGCGAGGGTACCCACAAGACTACCGGGGCGACCGGTGTATGTGGTGTGCCGGACCATGAGCATGGATGGCCAAACGGTCCCGTTGTGCGACGCATGCCTTGGTATGCTATGTCCGACTGCGCCATGGTCGGCTGGTCGCTGCTGCTGGTCGCTGGTCGGCTGTAGAATGAAACGTTTACCCGTCGGATCCATCCGATCCGTGGTCCGTCCACCTCTCTACTTCTGCTGTTGCTGAGGGCAGGGTTGTTTGAGACCACCACCACACTGGCATGTCGTCACAGCACAGTCGCTGGTCAAGTCACCATACACCAGACACGTAGGTTTGGCTTGCGGTGAGGTGGATGCCATGTTGGTGCACGGTCGAATGAACGATCGCCCCGGATCGCGGATAAACGCGGAGGAGCATTTACCCGTCGTGGTCGGATCATGGATCGTGGATCGTGCCGAACTTCTTTCATGCTGTCGACATGAACTACTGCTAGGGACCGCCACAGCACGGTTATGTCTTCAACGCGCACCCGTTGGCCAATTGGCCAACAACGTATGTATGTATGTGCATGGACACGTGTCGTGCGGCGAGGGTGCATAGTCTATAGGATATATGGCAATGTCGCGTTTCCGATTTTTCTGGTTTTGGTGGTGGTGTGTGGTGGTGTGTGGTGGTATGGTGGGAGTGGGTGGGGGGTTTGTTTGGATACCCCCCCGGGTGTTGTTGGTTTGAGTTCGGGGAAAGAATGAGAGACAGACACTGCTGTAAGACTGAAGCACCTTGTGTTCGTGAGTCTGCGAACATTGCTGTTGGATACATGTGCTGGATGATTTTGTGGCACGCAGACTGGTAAGAGAACCGTTTGATAGGGGGCACCGCGATGATTCACGGGGCCCCTCCTTGCTGTGGGAGCCGCTCTTTGAGCACTCCCTCTTTCGTCCGTGTGAAGGACGGTCGTCTACCTCCCGTGAAGTTAATACATCACCAAAACAGTCTCACCCGATAAATAAGTGGCGTAGGCCGCAAACAC